GGCGACCGGGAGCGTCCCTGCAGGGCACCAGCACGCCGGCGATGCAGCTGGTGCCCTGCAGGTAGCGCCTGACGGCTGCCTGCTCGAGGACGTCGTGCACTGTGCTGCGTCCTTCTTCCAGCGCCTCCAGCGTGTCCTTGCTTATGATGTCCGAGTGGAAGAGCTCAGAGGCCGTGACCTGCCTGCGGATGCCCGGGAACCACAGCTGTTTCCTCCTGTCCTCCTGCTCTGCGATCAGGTCCAGGATTACTTTCACCACCTTCCCCAGCGCACCCGCTGTGTCCTTTCTGTATTTTGCCACGAGCTCCTGTTTTTTCTCCTCGGTCATGTACTCCGAGTTCAGCAGCTCCCACACGGACCGCCTCTGGCCACGGTAACGTCCCACTGTGATCTCCACCCACTCAGCCTCCAGTGCCTTTCTGGTAGCCTCGTCAACATACCCGCAGTCCCTCGAGTCCTGGCCCACTGGCAGCAGGACCCAGCCCGTTGCTTCATCCATCTGGCACCGAGCCTGCAGCTGCTGGTACGTGGCACTCTCCCTCGTGTTTGGGTCCACAAACCGCTTCTTCATGAGCTTCTGATCTGACACGAGGACATATGTGTCCTGATTAAGGAGGCCGCGCCGGAACGCTGTCTCCAGGGGCACACGGTGGCCATGCAATGGGTCAAGGATGCCACCCGTGGCCACCTGCACCTCTAGCAGCCTCAGTGCATCTTCCCGCGGGACCAGCTTCTGCTCCATGGCCTGGAACAGGGAGAGCCGGGTACCCGAGCCTGGGGCAGCGTGGCCTTGGGCTGCCTTCTGTGCATTCAGGAGCCTGTCCCGTAACTCGGCGCCCACCAGGCCGGCCGCCACGGCCTCATCCACAGGGAGCCTCTGGTGGCCACGGGGGTCTAGCATGAAGCCCGTGGCTGCCTGTGCCTCTAGCAGCAGTGCCGCGATCCCCGTGGGGAGGAGCTCCTTTCTGCTGGCCTCGTACACGCTCATGACCTCCCGGGCGGACGGCGTGCTCACCCCTGCGATGCAGCCGCGGCCGTCCAGGAAGCGCTTCACACGCACCAGCTCGCGGATGCTGTGCTCACTGCCCTTGTCCCTTTGCAGAGCGTCCAGTGTCTCCTTGTCGATGATTCCCGAGTTGAACAGCTCCGCGGCTGACACTGGCCCCTGGGGCCCTTCCACCTGGACGGCTTGGCTCTGCTTTTCAGTTTCCTCGACTGTCTCAGTGATGATGGCCAGCAGTCTCTCCAGGGACAGCTTTTTGGTTTTGTACTGTTGGACAAGTGTTCGCCGCCTCTCCTCGGAGAAGTACTGGGAAGACAGCATGTCCCACAGGGAGACCGTCTGTCCTGCAAACCTCCCCACGTGCATCTTGGTGGTGCTTGATCCCAGAAGGTGTTTGGTGGCCTCGTCAATGTACACGTAGGTTTCCCCCTTCTTAACTATCTGCAGCATGTAGAGCCCGGTGTCGGGGTCGCACACGCAGCGCCCCAGCAGCTGCAGGTAGGTCAGGTTCTCGTGCGTATTGGGGTCGAAGAAGCCCTTGGTGTCGTCGCTGGGGTCCGACAGCACGCGGTTCATGTCCTCGTCGAAGTAGCCGCGCTGGTAGGCCACCTCGACGGGCACGCGGTGGCTGTGCACGGGGTCGAT